TTTTTTGAGTTGGAGTCTCACTCTGTCGCCCAGACTGGAGTGCAGTGGCCGCTCCCGGCCCCCGCAGCCTCGACCTGCTGGGCTCCGGCGATCCTTCCGCCTCAGCCTTCCAAGTAGCCGGAATTACAGGCATGTGCTACCACACTCGGCTGATTTTTTTATATATTATAGAGATGAGGTCTCGCTGCCCAGGTGGATCTCGAACCCGCGGGCTCAGGCAATCCACTCACCTCAACCTCCCAAAGGCGCGGGATTATAGGCTGAGCCACCGAGCCTGGCCATTCTTGCCAAGTTTAACAAGAAATTTAAGTTTGTTCATTGCCCTAATTCAAGCTCTGGCATTCTCACTATGGCACACAAAAACATGCAACAACAATAATGAACGTCACTCAGCAAGACACTGCCACATGTCAACACGAACACAGTTATGAGACACTGATATGCCAAGGTGATGAAACCTTACTGAGTTGTTTGTACAGTACTGCCAACATGAATACGGTGGCAAGTTCACAAACTTAATTGTCAGACCCCATGCAATCGAAACTTCATGGTGAAGCTAATGAATCTGAAAAATAATGGGACAAAGACCTGGAAAAGAAGTCATCCATGCATAATAAAAAAGATCTAATTCCCTGGTGTTCAGATTTGTAATCCCCGTGGGCCCAATGAAAAGAACCCATTAAAATGTACTCAGCCATTCTGAATTCCAAGTAAATATCCAGCTATTGGAACAAGAATAAGAAGTTCCACTGCTTTTAGACCGACATTTTTTTTCATATGGAAACAATTGCTTGAATATCCTCAAGAGTATCTCTGGAGGCTCGCTGTTATATAACACTTGAAACTTGAAACTTGAAAGCAGACCATAATTTAAGGATTTAAAATATGGAACTGGTTGAGGGGATTTAACACTCCAATCCCAGAACCCCACAAACCTCAAACCCTAGATTCAGTTCCATGCTCACTCACAGACTCAGGAATTCTTCTTGAGTTCAGTTTCCTCTTCTATGAAAGGAGAAGGACAATTGCACCTGTCAGAGCTAGCTAACTGCTATAGTAAACCACTCAAAATCTCAGTGGCCTGACACAATAACAGCTTGTTTCTTGCTCACATCACAGTCCAGTGCTGGTTGACAGAGTGGCCCTGAACTCCGTCACCAATCAGGAACCCAAGTTTTTCAATTACATGGTTCCAGCATCTTCTAGAGTCTTGTCCACCTCTGCATTCAGTGGTCATATGAGGAAACAGGACTTTGTTTTCTAGGCCAGGCCTGGAGGGGTTTCCATCCCTTCTGTTCTTGTTCCGATGACCAGGACTTGGTCACATGGCTGCACCTATCTGCAGGGAGGCTGGGGAATGTAGTTTGACTTGTGTGCCCTGGAGGAAGAGAAAACAAAGTTTAGTGAACGTGTGGTAGGCTCCACCACAATACTTACTCCAGAAGGTTGTTTGGGGGATTAAGTGATGCGACAGATACAAGAATTCATAGAGGTCTGTGGATCAATGAATATTAGCTCTGGACTGTTATTGCTGTGCTCCTGACTAGGCTGAGGCCATCTTCTCCACTCAGCTCATCCTGGATGGAGCAGAGGAGGCCAAGGGGGTGTCTCCTATCATTACATTATCTGCAGCCAATGACTATAGAAAGACAACCTTCAAAGCCGGCCGTGCCCTTTGCCCTCTTTTCCAGGCATCTTAATCTCAACTCATTTTAGATATATTTCATGGAACTGAGGTGAGTGAAAAAGAAGAGACAAACTTTTCATAGTATATATGCTTCCAAATAATACCGGCTCTCTTTGGCTACCATTTCTCGGCATAAGCTCATTTACTACTAAATTATACTTGAACCATATGACCTGAAACTCTGAACGAAGCTGAGATTCACCACATTGACTCATCCAGCTCTATTCTCCAAGCTGCCACAGAGTGATTTCTTCTAAACAGTGTAAATACGATCGTGCCAACATCTGCTTCAAATCCTTCACTGTCTTTCCAATGAATTTAGAATAAAATCCAAATGTCTTATGCTGGGTCAGTATTTTCCATCCCACCCTCTCAGGATCAGCCCGTGCCTCTCTCTCCAACCTCATTTCACATCACTCTCTTGGTTTCTTATCTCATTCATTCATTCATTTCATAGCTATTTCTCCAGCCTCTGTTCTAGGCACTGGAGATTCAGCAGTAAAACCTTTCCCTTCTGGTGAGAAGTGCATTCTAGTGTGACTCCACCACAGGGGACTTCCCTTAACACGCCCCCTGACTCCATGGTTTGGTGCTGGCTGTCTTCTGCCCAGTTCTGCTCCCAGACACCTGTTTAGAACAGTCCCTAAGACCTTTACTCTCTCACACAGCATCCTGTGTGCCTTCTTCATGGCATTTGTCAATCTGAAAAAAGATTTGGCTCGTTTGTGTGCATTTATTGTCTGTCTTCCTTTACCACATTGAAATTTCCATGTGGGTAAGAATCCTGCTTATCTTATTCACTTTTGTATCTTGAACACCTATTTGCCTGGCACAAAGCAGAAGCTTGATAAATATCTGTTGAATGAATGGATTAACCAATGAAGACACTAACAGGCAAGCAACCAAGGCATCTGGTGCTGGTCCCCAGGCCCGGGGAGATAGTTTGAGCTTCAGTTTTCCTCCTGACAGGCTGTACTCATCTTTGGCCCCTCTGTTGTTTCATAGGGAATGACACCACTCCACTGGGCGGCTTTCCACAACCAGCCTCAACATACACAAATACTGTTGAGGAAAGGAGCAGATCCCACCCTCGTGGATAAAGACTTCAAAACGGCGCTCCACTGGGCAGTCCAGGTGAGAAACTGGCCATGTTCAGTCTCAATTTTAAATGGTAGAAAGAAGTATTAACAAATTTCCTGTATGTCAGACAGGAAAGATGGAGGTTTTGGCTACATCACTTGTTGAGAAGAAACCTTGCCAAGAGGCTGAGGGGGGAGTAGTTATAGTATATCAAGCAGAGCCTGCCTTGGCTGTCTCACACACACACACACACACACACACACACACACACATATCTCTCTCTCTCTCTCTCTCTCTCTCTCTCTCTCTCATTCTCTTCATCTCAATGCTTGCTATTGGTTTACTGTGTCCCAAGGTAAACTGTCAAAGAATTGCTGGGAAGATTCCTTCAAAGTCTTTGAACCATGCCTCTCTCTTCTTCCTCCTTCCAAATCCTCCCCAGCAGAGGCATTCCTGGTGATCCTGAATTCTACCCCGAACAGTAAGAATAGTGGCTCATGATCCACTTTGGTCATGTGTACTGACAGAGACTCCTTATGTGACACATAAGGAGTCTCTGTCAGTACACATGACCAAAGACATCAGAGCAAGCTCCTGAAATCAATTGTCCAAAGAGTGTCACACTGAGAATAAGATGAAAGACTAATAATAGCTCATGTACTGAAGTGCTTTCTGTTTTCAAGGGGCGTGATCAACTGAAATCTATCTGATCCTTCTTTCAAGCAAAGCAGTACTATGCATCCATTCTATTAACTTGCTGATCCACTCCGTGTTTTGATATCTAAGCATAAACAGCCCCACAATGGATTCCCATCTGCCCAGGAAGGGCACCTTTCTGAGTTGCTGCCAGAACCCTGTGCAAGTAGTTTCTGCTGCCTGTCTGTGGTTTCTCTCAGCATTTTCATGTGCCAAGCACAGCAGAGGTGGGCACCTGGGACTTTCAGGAGTGACACATGTGCCTGGTATAAGGGGAAAACAGAAGTGATCTGGAAACTGCTCTGGTTTTGTTTTTCCTACCTCAACTGCAGACACTGCACCAAGGCCAGCCCTGGGCAAAACTGTGGACTCATTCTCCACCTGCCCTTAGTGCCCTCCTACTTACTTTCAGTATCTAATCTCTTGCTTTACCTCCTTCACTGCCAGTATCTCTACAAGGCTCTGTCCCCCAGGCTGGCCTCTGGCTGATCCTGGATCACCCCTGAATTAGTAGCCCCGGAGGAATCTGACTGGGTTCCCAAGAGGAGGCCCAAAAGCTTGTTCTCGGCTCGGGTGACAGTAGCATCAGAATCCAGCATTGTCTACATATTCATTCTCCACACCCCTGTGTTCTAGATCAGGGTTGCACGTGCATTTTGAAAAACCACCCCAGGTAATTCTGACTGACATGTTTCCTCTGTTCCCCCTTCCTCTACCCAGGCCCGATTTAGAACTGCTTCCCTAGACCTGGCTTTGCAATGGAATCACTGCAGTGCTTGGATGACAAATTCCCAGACCCCACTCCAGACCTTCTGAGTTGGGCTCTCACAGGATGGGAAATTTGTTCTTATTCTCTGAGAGGCAGTTTGCAAAATCATAAGAATAATGTATTCAAATTAGATCTGAGTTTGTATTCATAGACCTGGGTTTGATCTGAGGCAAATTACCAACATCTTCTTGGCTTAACTGATAAGTGTATCTTTGGGGTATGGATGAGACCGTGCGTGTGACGATGATGTGCAATGTACTATGTAATTGAAAGGGAGTATCATTTTTATTATGTTCTGATTTCCTCCATGCCTTTATGCCCCTGCCATGGACTATTTATATTCTTTCTCCCTACTAAATAATAAAACTTTTAATCTGCTACATTGGTTTCTATCCTGTCTGCACAATAGAATAATCTGAAGAGTTTTTAAATAAAAGCTGATGTCCAGGCACCAACTCTTAGATTCTCACCCAGAGAGAATTTTTTTTTTTTTTTAAGTTGGAGTCTCACTCTGTCACCCAGACTGGAGTGCAGTGGCGCTCGCGGCCACCACAGCCTCGACCTGCTGGCCTCCGGTGATCCTTCCACCTCAGCCTTCCAAGTAGCTGGAACTACAGGCACGCGCTACCACACCCGGCTAATTTTTTGATTTATTGTAGAGATGAGGTCTTGCCAAGTAGCCCAGGCGGTTCTCAAACCCGCAGGCTCAGGCAATCCACGCACCTCAGCCTCCCAAAGTGTGGGATTACAGGCTGAGCAAGCCCGTCTGTAGAGAGAATATTTTTTAGAGTTCGAGCCAGGCTTGGGGGCACATGCTTGTACTCCCAGCTATCCGTCTATCTATCGATTGATTGATTGATCTATCTATCCATCTATCTAGATGATTTAAAACTTCCTCCTTTCCCCCAAGAGATTATATTGTGAAGCTAGAGTTGAGAGCCTCTATGATAAATGAATTCATATTAGTGTGTGCTAATAATATCTTATCTACTCAGACTGAAGATGTTTGCATTTTGCCCAGATTTTGCCATTTTGTACAAATAATGCCTCACTCATTTATTTGCGCAATTGCTTAAAAAGAAAGTTCTTGAGTATCCACGATATGTCTTAGATTGGAGGTAAAAAGATTAACAAGACAGGTTCCTTCTAGAACTCCTACAACTGGCATGCAACGGTGTTTGTGTGGTCTGTATGCATGTTTGCCTTCATTTTTCTGAGGAAGAAGTTTACAACTTTCTTCAATTCCTCAATGAGAATCTATGATTACCTCAAAAAAGGTTAAGAATCCCGGCTTGGAGGAACTGTGCACTCTCTCCCTTCCCTGTGGTTTGCAGTAAAATTCAGAAGTGGTGAACTCTGCCATTTACACTGCAAAGACCGAGGGTAATTCCAAATGTCAGTTGAAATCATTATTATACTTGCCTTCTTTAGCTTTCTTGTTTATTTACCACACAGGACCAGCATTGTGCTCCTTTTAGAGTTTTTCCATATGAGTCTATTTCCCGTTGTCATTTATTAACTTTGCTGAATTTCCTGCTTTTCTCTGAGACCATACGATGAGATCACATTTAAAGCTATAGTACTTTGAAATAATAAGGCCGTCTCATTTGACCCAAATAACCAAAGCAGTAAAGATTTAAAGCATCAGGCTATGAAGTGAATGAACTAAGAGTTCTACTTCTGCTCCCATTTCTCAAGCCCCTTGGTGGCTTGTGGCTGCTTCAGTGGGCTCATTGCCCCTTTTCACCCCCTATCTTCCCAGAAAACGACACTGTTTGGCTGTATCTGGTCTACCACTAAGCAGAGTCTCCATCACAATATCCCTGGATGGCACCCTAGTCCCTTAGGGGTATGCTCTTGCCTGCCTGTGATGACACTAGCTTATCACGAGTCTACACAGGTATCTCTCCGCCTCATCTCTCTTTCACTCCTCGACCCTGTGGAAATTTCATCCTCAGTCCTTTTTCACTCTCTTTCTCAAAGAGCTCATTGGTTTCTATGACCCCAACTATCATCTGATCTGGAAGAGTCTCAGTTGAATAACTCCAGTTCTGACCTCTCTCTTGAACTCTAGACCCACATTTCGTCATCTTCCCACAATTGCCCACAGACACTTCAACTCAACATATTCAGACTGAATCCACGACCTCTCCCATATTTCATTTCCAACCTCCCAGTAGTCCAAGCCAGTGACCTCTCTGCATGGTCTATGAGTACTCATTCCTTATCGCCCATCATATCCAGTTGATTATCAAGCACTCTCAGTTCTATCACCTCAGGTCTCTCATTGCTCTCCCCTTATTTCTATTACCACTATCCGGGTTAAGTTCCCGGCAGGAAAGAGATGGCACACTCAAATGGGGGTAGTTGAGGAGAGATGCATAAAGAGGCTATTTATCATACACCCCAGATCTAGTGACAGCAGGTTACCATTAAGAAATTATGGGCCTAGTCGGGCTCGGTGGCTCAGGCTGTAATCCCGCGCCTTTGGGAGGCTGAGGTGAGTGGATTGCCTGAGCCCACAGGTTCAAGACCCGCCTGTGGAGCGAGACCTCGTCTCTACAATAAATCAAAAAATCAGCCGGGCATGGTAGCGCATGCCTGTAATTCCAGTTACTTGGAAGGCTGAGGCGGAAGGATCGCCGGAGCCCAGCAGGTCGAGGCTGCGGTGGCCGGGAGCGGCCACTGCACTCCAGTCTGGGCGACAGAGTGAGACTCCAACTCAAAAAAAAAAAGAAATTATGGGCCTAAAAAGGCATAGGAGGGAATGATTCCTAAGTCATGCCTAAAGCTATAGCAGTAGGAGATGTCCCAAGACAGATACTGTAGCCTTTGAGAAAATAACCAAACTGTGAAGGAAGGGAATTGAGGAATAAATACCCCAAGCTCTCTTTCCTCCTGCCTCCACCTCCTGTCAGTGCCACCATTGGCCAAAGCTAATCAGAAGCCAAAGGACTTGGGAGCCCATTTACTGCAGTCCATACCATGCTGAAAAATGAAAAAGAAGAAAAATTATGGGAAGTCACTTGCAAGAACAAATGTTGACCATTTAACAAACTTCCCATTACTTTTTCTCAAATCAAGATTGCATCATGTCTTACCTGAACAGTTGGAATAACTGATATTCCTACTCTCAGTCCATCTTTTTTCCAATATATTCTCACAGTGCTCTTCCTACAGACCACAAAGACATGTCAACATAGCTGTTTATTACACCAAAACAATTATAGTCACTGTTGGTCTTTGGCTCAAAGCCTTTACACTGAGTTCCATTTTGTGGCAAAGAGTAAACTCCTTAGACTAGTTCTTAATGCTGTGAGCAGCCTCTCCCCACCCCCTGACTTTCCCTCTTTAGCTATGATCTTTGTTCCAATCAAACTGGAATATTAATACTTCCCCCTCAATATATCATAGAGATTCATTCTGTCTCCCCCTTGGTCATGTTCTTCCATTTGGGTGAAAAACGTCTTCTTGCACACCCTGCATCTTCCCTTCTGCTTGCAGAATTTCTGCTTATTCGTTCTTACTCCTCAAAGCCCGACTAAATATCACCTTCTCTGTTGAGCTCACCTGCAGAGTTATATCCTCC